GGAGCTTCTATCGAAAGAAAACTTGGTCCGGACAATATCCAAACTATATCAGTTTCTTCCCCATTTATGAGAAATGCAAGATAGTCCGCTGCTTAGCACAAAGGGCAGACAGTATCGAGATTGGAACTAACGTAACTCCAAGACCTGCTTCCTGAGAACAGTTATCCTAAGAAATACATCACAAGAAATAAGATGGCAAGACAAGTAAATTCACCATGCCCACTGCGGAGAATAAGTCACCATTCCACGCAATGGATGCATCAAATGAACTCCTAAGAAAACGTCTTGACCAAGCCGTGTGACGAAGCCTCCCAGCAGCGAGAGTTGGGGTGCTATTCTCAAACAATTCAGTCTCGAACGGCGAAGTTAAGGACGTGTTGCTAGCCCAGACCACCTTTATGTGTATCTACGAATTTACTTGCTCATGTAAAGCAGGTTAAACTGGTCGCACGAGTCGGCGCTTATAAACAAACTAAGAAAACGCCTGCCGGCATGGCTGAGAAAAGTTTAAATGAGGAGAATAAACAGCGATATTCTGATCCAGTCATGGTGTGGATCCTAATTAAGCCTTCCGGGCCAGCGACTGCAATCAACAGTAGAAACAACCACTATCAGGTTGTGGAAGCCGTTTCTGTGTGCCGTTCCTGACCTGGCATGATCAGTGGTCGTTTAACGGCATGTACTATTTCGCGCCCTCTTTGGCTCCTCCCCCCCCTTGGACCGGCTCAACCAAATATCCTCTGCCATGTAACCAGCCTTCGTTTATCGAAACCTACACTGACCCCGCCCTATAACCCTTATCAACTGTAACGGAAAGGCAAAAATGTTTTAACTTGTATTCCGTTCGCATATAAATCAAATGGCTCGATGGGGATCTATCGAAAACTTGCCTTTCTGATTTCTCTGATGAGAAGTCTGCAACTTTAATACTAATAGATTAAAGTTCTGCCGCTTCAAGCTTTAAAAAAACACCTTGTAGGTAAAAAAGTAAGCCCTATAAACTGTAGACATAGTGGTTATGTTGGTAAAATTTTTAGGGAAAATTCAACTCCAGTTTCTCAAAGTGATTAAAAAGTCAAAAGGGAGAGTTATTTGCTAGCATTCTTTTTCTATCCTTACCTTGAAAGTCTGTTGGATCCTGATCACCCTTGTTCTTAGGGGGCTTCGGTAGACGCCATTTATCCCAGGGTCCAGGGACTCCATCGTCGGGTTCAGACTCAGGTTCGAATTCCGCCTCAGCGATATAATAGTTTGCTTTGATGGCAAAAATTTTCCCCCAAAAGCGGAGTGCGGTAACACTGGGCAGCTTTTTGTGCAGTAATCTGAGTGCCAACCACACGCGCATGAGCTCCTCCCGTCCGACTCCTTTGTAAGGATAAACAACTTCATAAGGAGACACGTACTGTAAGCATCTTGCCGATAGCTCTGTAAACCACAACTTGCGACCGCCCAAAGGCGGGAGTCAGCATTCATTACTAAAATAATGCCTACTGTTAGGATGTCAGTAGAAATATCAAAATATACCAAACATAAGTCATTGGCCTTCACTGTGAGATTATTGATAAGCAGGATAAAACTAGGTGATAGGAATTCTTTACCGATTCCTGCTTGTTCGATAAGGAGGGCATGGTTGGAGAGGTTTGGCAACGCTGCTGCCTCCTCATCATCCTCGAAGTTGCCTCCAAACGGTCGTAGTGGTGGCCCGCCTACGACTGGAGATTGATCCCACACATGTTCGGGGTGCTTTAAAAAAACAGTATGTTAGCAGAGGTCAAATTCGCAAAAGTGCAAAGGTCTGAGGCTAGCTGAAAAAACTGCAAAACTACTGCTATAGTCTCCTACCTCCTTTTGCACTGCAGATCAACGGTGTTGAACGTTTTCACTCAAAACTAACATGTGAACCAGACCAGATTTCCGACAGGAAGTTGCATAGCATGGGCAATCATTGACCAGAGATGAACAAAAACAGGAAAACTACAGCGAAGTATTAGGTTTTGCAGAATTTGTAGTTATCTGCTCACCCACAATTTCATTTCTAAGCCTCTAATACAAGTGGAGCCAATGCACGATGCTTAGGAGATCTATGAGATTGGTGATTACAATTCCTCAAAGGCTGTACCTGTCACTATGCCTAGAACCCTTGATCAGGATTGCCATACAGGCAGCGAAGATAAGGTAAGCGAGAATTACATACAGTGGCGGTTGGTTTAATAGTGTAAAATGCACTTTAACTTCTAACTTCTCAAAGTAACCGGAAGTCGGCCTTGACCTTTGAATCTAGGAGTCTATGTTGAATGAAGAGTATAAGCAAGTCCAACCCCATCATTCTCAGGATAATAAGAAATTTGAGTTTAGTTATCGCAGTCGGTTAAGTTACTAGGGGAGACCATTGCTGTTGCGAAATTGAAGCCCAGTTCCATGTGGGAAGAGAAAAAAGTGGGATGTCAGGTGGGAGGAGTAGTGAGAATAGGTTGGAGGCATTTTGTAGCTCGACAAGCGCGCATGCACAGCCATGAGGGCCGAAAACTTCATCACAGCGTATACAGCGCAGTCATGTGTGATTCGGCCTAAGGGAGACGATTGAGGACCGCGGACTCTGGTGCGTACGTGCTAGTAGCCAACATAGGTGAAAACGTTGAGCTTTGCAGGCGGAGTCGGGCTACTGAAAGTTTGATCGGTGAGGACTGCACTACCAAGGATTCAGCCCGCTAACAGTTCGCGTTCTTGCTATAAGCCCAGGCACGTGTTTTTCGCCAATCTTCTGGCGTTGCTTGAAACAGCTGTGAAGGGTCCGGCATATCTCGACCAAACGGTAGATATGCTGGACGCATATCGCGGCTAGGTAGATGAAAACGTGATATGCCATATTAGACCTGTGCACCCATACAAGTTTCACAAGCGAGCCGTGTTTTTGCACGTCTTGTAACCTACTCACACCGCACCAGCCGCCTGCGTCCAATATGTGTAGCAGACGGCTGCTCTACTCGGACAGCGGACTAGTGCCTAGGACAAGAAAGACTGAAGACTGTCCCACGGTACGCAGAACCGGCATCCCACTGATTAGCTCCTAACCTATCATTTGTGATTCAAGCCGTCGCCTCTAGGAATATTTGGTCCAGGTAACGCGGATCAGACATGTGGATGGCACGTGTAGTCGGGAAGAATAGCTTTGGCAGCGAACGCATCCGAACCCATCCCCAATCTTCTTAACTTTGTCGTGACACCGGGCTCAGATGGGTTAGGAAGGGAGGAGATTGGGGTAGATGCTGCGTACTTCGACTACCGCTCTCGATAAATTTACGTACAAGTCACTAACGAATATTCTGTCAGGCGCACAGTAGGCAGAATTCATTACGTCGATCAAAAAGTTCGGGCCCCAGTGTTCCGCATGTGCTTTTTCGTATGTGCTCCAAATTTGAAATTTTGGTCTTTTAATCTTTTAATAGAGGAACGTGCAAACCCGAAGTAAGTTCATCTATAGAGCTCGATCCAAAAAGGTTTAGTCCGAAATTACAACACGTGGTATCCGCTTCATGACAAACGCGAGTTTGTCCAATATATACCACTTAGTAAAACAAACCGACTACTCATTCATGATCAGTAACACATATTTTAAACTATGGACAATTTTCGGCAACGGCCTTCTCCAAGTTCGTGCGAAAACTTCTTTAAATCCACCAGCGTCCAAGAAATCATCGTATATTATGTAAACAGACAGTTTTTGTTATAAAAATATTTATTGCTATACAATACCCAGAGCAAGAGTACTAGGCAAGAGATCAAAAAACATTATAGATGCTTGGCTTCCTAGACTGTCCCTCAGCGTCCCTCGGGGAAACACAGGAAGGAGCTCTTAGCTGGCAAACGTACTGGGAGTACGCTCGAACGGTTTGTATTTAAATGTCCTTTATTCAATAGAAATCACGACAATAAGTCCTTAGTGCACAGTGAAGGAACAGGAAAATCAAAATGTTATTAGGTAATTAAGGAATCCCCTTAAGCAGACGCCACTTACTTGTCATTGTATAGCTGCTACTGATGGCAAACTTTGACAGGTTTATGTGCTTCAAAAATCACATGGAGGATTTTGGAAATTGACCAGTCACCAGCTTCTTTGTCAACGATTCATAAGTGGATCGCTCATTTCTACTTATTTGCAGTATCATCTGTGGTCATTTAAGTCTGCACTTTTTACGCAAAAGCACTTACCTACCAGAACAAACTCGCAGCTATGCAACAGATCTCACCTTCAAGAGTGTTCTCTCTGCCATAGCGTTGGTCACCTCGTCGGTGCAGGGCTGGACTGTCAGCGCCTTGGCCTCCATAGACTCCTCCTTAAGTCCTGCAGCCAGTTCAGAGCCACCGA